AAAAGTATATTCGGCATTTGGAAACTATTTTTTAATGATATTACCTTAAAGATAATGGTCTATGGCAAATGGCTATTTCTTATGAAGGATTTCTGTCTTGGATCTGCTTTTGCTAAAGTTGTTTGCCCCTATATATTGTAGCGCCGGCGGCACTCCTTCATGGCCTCGTTGAAACCTTGGCAGGCGGTCAGGTCACTGTTCTCCTCGGTGCACTTGAGGAACTGTCGCAGCTCGTAGGCGCACGGAGAATCATCAACGAGCTCGCTGGTACGCTGCGCCTGCACTGCCACCGGTGGCGCCGCCTGCTCTGCCGGCTGGTTAGCTGGGACAGAATTTCCGCCGCCACCGCCGAACAAACTAGAAATGCCAGCGCCCACGACATGTCCCACAGCTGATCCGGCTGCTACGCCCGCTGCAGTGGCGGCCATGTCCTTGAACAGGCTTCCTTTGCCACTTTCCTTGGGGGCTACCTCTGCCGCTGGCGCTTTCGCAGCAGCTTTAGTTTCATCTTTTGCAGGTGCTGGTGTCGACTGCTGTTTGCGTGTCTGGCTCACCGCTGGCAGTTGGCTGTTTCTGGCACGCGAGTTGGGAACGGGAATCGTACAGCTGGTGTTGCTCCTGGAGCTCTGGTGACGAGCCGAACCGCTGGACTTATCTGAACGTTGACGAGGCATTTTCTTACTATATTTTGGGCCAAGACCACAGACAAAAATTAAACAAATTGAGGCCTAGTAAATCAGATATTTACCGCCAGAAATCAGAATTTAGAATGATAGAAAACCAGAAGGGATTTGATCTTGCAAAGTCTCACGGCCCACTCGGATTACTAAGGATTGCCTTGAATCCCTGAATTCTGAGGAGGAACCGACGGAATTGTTTGCAGAACTTTCCTCAGGGCAAGTATTGGGTTTCCAAGAGTACTCGGAAACTCGATTCAACTGTGTCTCTTAATGACTGCTTCGTTGGAAATGTGTATTGCCTCCGGGTAGCCACTACCTGTACGCCACTGGCTGGGCTTCTCATTACTTTTGACAGGCACTCGGACAGTTAAGACACAGTGGTTGCCGCTGCGGCACTGTTTGCCGCAAACTCATTGCACACGCAGTCAGACACCAGATACAGGGGCTGCCACAGATAGGCGGCTGCCATTTGCATTTCCAATGCTTGCTGTGTATGTGCCGTCTGTCTGAGGGGGGCTGTTTGCCGGTCAGTTTCTGCCAAGCACGCTTTCAATTTTAAATCTGAGTCTAGTGTGTGTGCCTGCCGGTGATTGCACTTCGGATGAATTAGCCGAATGCGGCCATGGTGCGTATGAGTAATGTAGATACAAGAGAAGATAATTTGCGGCAGTCATTTCCATTCCACTCACCTAATTGGCTGCCTATACCACATGCAGGAAAATTCACCTTCTCTGACTCGCTACGAATAGTGTGCTGCCGCCACCCAATTACAATTGAAGCAATTTTCGCCGAAAGGCTTTCCCCTAAAAATGCGATTAAATTTCACAATACTGGGACAGCACTTGAGCACACCTTTCTTATGGGATACCATTCATAACTGCAGCACTGCTGGGCTGCTCGACTCCTGGAGAATGGAAAACATTTCAAATGCGGTAAATTACAGTTAACGATTTTGTAGCACAGCAATTTGCCTTATCTCTAGATTTCTATCTATGGTTTGTAAATGTATTTCCACGTAGCTGTCCCACCATTTGTTTTGCATAGCCACCCAGTCCCCCATCCGTCCAGCCAACATTCAAGTCTAGCCATCATGCAGACCAGGCCAGGCCAGCCCAGACCCACTGTTGGTCATTGGCCAGAACGAAAGCCATTGTGGTGGACGACGTGTGTGCTTTGTGGCATGGCCTGGACAACAAATGTAGGGCCGCCATAAAGGTGTTGAAATAACTGCTTCTCAACGGAGTTCAGTTGAGTTCTTTTTGTTTGCATTCGCGTCTGTGCTTTCTTTGTTTTCTTTTACGTTTACAGCTTTTCCAGCCCTCCAATTGTTATGCCGTTTTATGGTTATTGTTGTGCTGGCGGTGGGTCGCAATGCAAATTGCTGGCACATAATTATGTCGCAGCCAGGGCAAGGAATGGCAGAGGAATACCGACCAAACACTAAACTTTCTGTAAAGAATGGACAATGCGGAGTTGCACCAGTTTAGGGAAACTTTTTGTGGATTGTACCTTAGGTGTGAGAATTCGGAGAACTTTTCCATGTCTAATTAGCAGACGACTTCAGAAGGCAGTTCCAGCAGCAACTAATTTATATAAAACTCACTTTAACTCCTGCAGGCAGTCCAAATAATAGAAAGAGAACTTTTAATTTGCCAACGCCCTTTACCGGGACCGGGACACGCCATAGAAACACGGAAAAATTTCAGAGACAGAGACCGAGTTACACGTAATGTGAATGGACAGGACTGGACTTTTTCCGTACCCTGGACTAAATCAGATACTAATTGCATTATCCTCCTACTGATGATGGGCGGCAAACGATAAGAAAGCAATTTCAATCTGGCATCACTCCAGCAATCAATGAAATGGTTCTTGAATGGCCGAGCGGATCCTTGAAGGGTTAGAGGACTATGTACTGTGCTGAGCTTTCATCAAGTGTCAGGTCCGCTAGCAGTTGCATTTCCTGCTTCTTGACTAATGATCGCGTGCCAGTGCGATGGCAAACTGCCACTTGGACAATCGGAAGGTCCTGCGAATGGAGCCGATATAACTTCTAGAAAGCAGTGCAAGCAGTTCACGCACGTATTACCCGTGAGGCGGGGGGGTGACAGGCAAACAAATGAATTTAGATTTTAGCAGGAAAGGCCTCCCTCTGACCCCGAACGGGTCAGTGGTGCTTGTAATTATATTCACATTTCGACATTTCGTTTTCTTTTTGCTTATTAGGAAAACTTTGCCTTGAACCTAAGCTGAAAATTAATGATTGCATTTTCGAGTGAGCGGCGAAAGGCGAATGGCGAAAGGATGGATGCACGGACTTCACGGACTTTTACAACTTTGTAATGTGCAGATTAAAATTTGCCTGCCTCTTGGGCAACCTTCTGTTTTCTACTTTCCGCTGAGTAGTACTTTTCCACTTTTCTTCTTTATGAAGTGCGCGGCAAGAGCTGCAAGGCCCAGAGCCTGTTTAATGTTTAAGTGGCCGCAAAAGAAGTTTTTAATGAAAATAAATCATCTGCACACTTGACTGCCTACATAGCGCGCATACTAAGACTACGACTACGACTAACCCACACTCTGAGGTACGGAACCATGCTCTACTGCCACGCAGCTCATTCCACGGGGGGATTTATGGACTCCAGTTGACATCCAATATAAATCAGGGCCCCCGGCGACACTCGGGCAATGCAATTAGGTGCTGTTCCAAATTAGGCCAGATCACGAAACGGATTCCCATGCCCCCCGGGGAAAAGGCCAGAGGGCATAGGGCAGAGCCTAGCACTAATTGGGTCCAAAGGGCCAAAGGATTTCACTAGATAATTCCTCTTCATGGGTGGTAGCATGCCACTGCTTTAGTTTAGCCACAGGTGTTTATTTAATTAATTTACGTAAATCAACTAAAATACACACTCGAATCGCATACGTGAGGGCTTATCGTTTGTGCATAGCCATTTAATAACTAATTAATTTTAAATCAGCTTTTTGAGCTCTCCAAATTATTTATACTAATTAAACGAAGGGCGAATGCAAGCGAAAATAAATAAAGTTAAGCCCGAATGCATGTTGCGGTGCACGCACAATGCGTATGCGCATTGGCTGGATTATGCAGGTTTTTTAATCAAATACTTATTATTTTCGATGTCGGTGTGTCATTAAAGAGTTCCTTAAATATTCGCTTTCACAAGCCCGGCTACTAATTGCCAGTGTTAGCAACAAATTCCTCTCACTCGAAAATTTGTCAAAATAAATTGCGAAAAGGCAGATAAATAATGCACACTTAAGGCGGCAAAGGAAAGGAAAGCAGCAGTGACGGGACGGGACCGGCAACATGCAAATAATGCCAGGTTCTTTGGGCCCCGGCAAATCACTTTGAGTTATTGTATTTAGCCTTCAACACGGCCAAAAAGCGCAAAGTAAAACAAGTAGAAATTATATTCTAGGGTGCCTCGACCGGGAAATACCATTTACTGCAAATATATACATCAATGAATGAGAATCTGAAATTCTCAATTGACAGAGAGAAAGTATTTCTCGTATAAACAATTACTTGAAGCAAAATAAGAGTAATAAAGCTGTAATAAATAACATTATACCTTTGCATACAACATACCCTTGAACCCCACAAGTACCGGGTATAATAAATATTTTAAAGCTTCACATGAACACACTCAGGCACACAGGCACACAGGCACCGGCACAGACACAGACACAGACACAAAGTCAGAGCGGCACACGGGAAAGGTGTCTAACAGCCACGCACTTTGGGCGATGATTGATATGGCTGCCATGGGTGGCAGAAAGGCACCGTGCCGAACGGGGAAACGCAGCCCCTTTTCTCCCCTACTACCCTGCCCCACTGCCCAAATAAAGAAAAGAAAACGTGGAGTGTCAAAGTTTTTGTGCGCGCTTAGCGCATTTGATGAATTGTTAAAAGAAAATCGCGCGTATGTGTAAACAGTTTGGTCTAGGACTAAGAGATTCATGGTTTGGCGGGGGTGGACGGTGTACGGAATACGGAATACACGTTCTTATGTGAGTTAGACTGTGTGTGAGTGTGAAAATCAACAGTGCCAGCTAAAAGGAAAGAAAGAATGAACGTGCGAGTGCGAGGCTTTTGAAGCTGCCGACGCGTCGCTCTACCAAATCGACCAAATGGCGGGAGCCCCAACACCCAACAGCTGCTGATGATGATGGCGGCTGATGTCGGCAAACAGTCGCTCGACGAAGGAAAGCCATCGAAGGAAATCACTGACTGGTTAATGCTCTACACGGTAGAGCCCCTTGACAGAAAATTCGAAAAGTTTAAACTCTAGAAAACATTTCCAAATTACGAGTGTCTGTAGAAAGGAATGTCCCTGCAATGGAGAGAGCATCAAGACAGGCAAGAATTACAAAAGAATCCACCAAGAATTGGAAGTACAGCGCCCCTGGTCAGACCTTGCATATCTCTGAATATGGTCCTTTTATGGCAAGGACTTCCCCAAAAACTCCCCTCCCGGAATATAAGCTAAAGCTATTGAGTCCCATGGTGTTGGATTTATCCAGCAAAAGGAATCCGGTAAATATGAGAAAGTCCAAAGCAAGTGTAGCCAGCGAAAAGTCACCAAAGAATACAGAACAGTCCAGGTCAAAGTTGGATATGTTCAAGGTGTATCCGCTGGTCGATTCAATCTTTAGCGATTTGATAGAAAGACACGGGCGACTTGTCAAAGGCGGCCGCAGAACGGGAAACATGATGAACCAGCTGAGATCGCGTTACATTCAGCAAATGCAGCGAGTTCTGCTCAATGCAGTGGGAATGGGGGAGGTGGAAAACCCCACAAGACTGTCGAATGCCGCCTACCTCATGCACAGAGAGCACTTCAAACAGCAAGTGGGATGGCTAGCCGCGACGGTGGTGGGCCTGAAGGTGCAGCGGCTCAGGGAACTAATGCTGCAAATGAGAAAGCCCCCGGGCAAGGAGGATCGCAAGATGCTGGACGATTACGGGGACGACAGCCAGCCCTCCAACGCCTTGTGGAGGCTCTTTAACAAGGAGATGCCCGAGGATCAGAGAACGGATCTAGTGAATATCATGGAGAACAACTTCGCAAGCCTCTTAGATCAGCTGGATCTGAGCGAAGACGTGTCGAGAGCCTCTGTCCAGGAACCGCTGCTTGAGTTAAAAACCCAAATAACCGTCGAGAACATGGAAACCAGTCGTGCCAAATGGGTGCAGTACTTTGCGAATCGCGAGAGGACGCCTTTTGAGCAGAAATTGTCAGCTCTCCACCTGCAGCGAAAGGAGGCCCTGATTTCGCAGAAGCTTGAGCTCAAGCGAAACAAGATGGAAAGGCGGCAGCAGTTGCTCCACCACCGACCCCTCACCGAACTGTACACTAATCCTCGGCTCACCCATCGTATGCGTCAGGTGCTCGCGGAACGGGCAGCCCATGCCCGTGGCCAGGCCACACAGACGACTTCATGTCATGCTCATCCGGAGGCCAGTAATCAAAAGCCGCAGACTTCCCCGAAACGCTTGCGCATGACCGATGTTGTGCTGAAGACCATGGGTGATCGAGATAGCTGCTGCAAGTGCCACTTGTTGCCATCATGCTCGACAGATTATTCGGCGAATTATAAAAAAGAAAACCGTTCCGATTAATTTAGGATTGCAATTGATTGCAATTACTCCCAAGTATACTTCACCCAAATAATTTATCCTCTGTGTACATTTCGTAATGAAGGAAACGTAATGCTTATTGTCCGCCTACATAGTCAAACCAGCCTTATCCCAGTTAGGGTATATACCGCCCAGGCTCGACGAAGGCAAACTTTTTGCGGGCTCTTCACTTTTAATCTGTCTTAGACTGACTAATACACACACGGATATGCACACACATATGCATATGTGTGCTGTCTTTTTCCCCATTTCCACCCTCACAGTCAACGTCTTCCTGGTATTTACTTGGATTCTGCGTAGGCACCTAATCCTTGTCAGAGAAGCCACATTCAATGTGTGCGTTTTTGAGTGTGTGTGTCGCTCTTCCAGAGGCGAATGAAATGCCACAAACACACACACACATATGCTCCACACGCAGATATGCGCTGACAGATACACCTACACATTCAGACATCACATCAAATCATCAATCACATGCTTTGGTGATTCATTGATAAGCTTTTCCTTTTTGCGTATGGATCCTTCTCCTGCTACTGCTGTTCCTGCTGCTGCTGTTGACGCTCTCAAAGGAATGTAGAAGGGGAGAAGCGGGAAATTCATGGGGCAATCATGTTAATAATGCCGCACGATGTTGGCCACCAGCCATTTAGCCTGGCCATTAGGCTTGTTATGCCTTAGCCTGCCCCTCTGCTATTTGCCTGGAAATTAATTTAAAGACTTTTTAAAGCAGACACCTAAAGCCGTGAACACTCGTGCTACTCGTAATAGCTATATAGAGAGAACTATCTAAAGAACTTATGTTTCTTTTAATAATATACCAAATAAGTAACAACATTTTTTGTTCTAACCCATGAAAAGTCTCTCGTACAGACGGCCATGACTATGTCGAATACTTTCTGAGGTATGCAATGCTTTCTTCTGACTATTTCATACATTTCCACGAAATTACACAAACTATTGACCCCTCCAAATACCGGGTATACAAAACTCCTAAAGGAACCAGCAAACAAAACTAATCGAAGCGAAACGAAATGAAACGCAACACTAAACACACGCACAACAACATAAAGGAATTTGTTTATTTTGATTTTTGGGAAATCAATTTTGGATTCGTGTTTATTTTCGATGTGGTTATCCGGCGAACAGCCATTGGCAGAGTAAACAAATCGACGCTTTTTTGCGCAGATGCCACAAACAGAGACACAGACAGACACGGTCCCGCCCCTCCCACGAAATGTGCAAAGGTAAATATATATAACTAAAAAATACGAATGAACGTGCACTCGGTACACCTGTCCCTTTGTGTATGTATGCACATACAACTATGTATCTGCGATTTGGGTACCATTAATGTCACAAGTGTAATTGTTTTTTAATCGCATTGATAGCAGCAGACCTGACACAAGCAAAATACCATTCACAAAATTATTTCGAGTGTGCGCTAAAACCACTTGAAAAACGCCAAGAGCTTCGAAACTGACCCAAAAAAACAAGAACAAGTAGGAATAGAAATAGGAGTACCACTAGTACTCGTATTCGTATACGTATTCGTATTCGTACTCATGCGAGTGTCGCGCCATGAGTGTTAATGCTCATAAACAAACAAAGACAAAGAGCGACATAAAGGTGGAGCGGCAGTGGTAGAGGTATAGCCCGTGAAGAGCATTTGACTTAAGCTGTCTACTTACACATACAAAAACTAAAATGGTGCTCACACATAAAACAGAAATACAGCAAAAACGGCGATAAAAAAATTTACATAATGCCTCGGCGAAGCGGGAAAAATGAAAAAGAAATACAGAGAGCAGAGTGTAAATGTGGATGTGGAGGATGGGAGCACTGGAAGTGACTGGCAAATGGCAAGTGACACTTGAGCGAGTGCTTCTCGGAAAGCGGAAAAGCGCCGCGCCTGAGTAATGGCGGATGAGTGACCATCAAAGGGGTAGTCGAAAAGTGTCCCCCATGCAGGACATTTAAGGAAATTAAAGTCTGTTGAGAAAGGATACAGGGAAACGACAGTTTCAGACGACAGTGAGCTCCACTCCGCAAGCACATACATACATAATGTGAGATTAATGTTCATGCCCTTAGAACCAAAGAGAAGTAGAAAATCTCTTCGACTAAAAGTTACAATTTATACAAAACGAATAAGATTAAAGTTGGAAAATACAGCTCGGAGCCCAACTGCCCAACTACTTATCGCAGATACTCCAGATGCAATCAAAGTTCCCTTCTAATGGCTGCTAATGGTGCCTCCATTTACGAAGTCTTCTTGGCCCTCTCTCCCCTCCCTTTTGAGTGAGTGCTGTAAAATGCATTATATCAGTTTTGCTTGAGGCTCCAGCCATACAGCCATCCAGCCATCCCGGGATATCCTTATGTATCCAGTATACATATCTTTATGTGCATAAACTTGGCCATATAGAAATGCTTCAGCAGCACGGTGCCGGCTTTTAATAAGCACTGCCAGCGAGTGGGATGGGATGGTATACATGGCCATCAGTGTAGAACGTGCCACAAGCACCACAATGTGAGATTTGATAAAAAGCCATAAAAAAAAAGCAGAACCAGAACCATAACCAAGATGGAGTCAAAGCAAGGCAAAGCAAAGCACAGCACAGCAAAACTTAAGGCCAGAGACCAGGCCAAGACTATAAAATAATAATGAAGTCAATTTCAATGACGTTGCTGTGGCAAGAACAGAACAGCAGCAACAGCAAAAACAACTTCCCATAACCCTGAAACGCTGCTGTGGACAGCTGAGGGCAACACCAACAATAACAACAACAACCAAACCACAAGCATTATCCAAAGAAAAAACAAACAATGGCCTCACGTCACATGATTTCCTGCAGCCATTTCTTGCCATGTCTGGCCTTTGAGGTCGTTCCTCGCTGGTTGGTTTGGATGCTTCCCTAAAAGGTAGCGCTTAATTTTTTGCCTATAGCCTTTAAGCGGGTACCAAGAAGCCACTGAAGCTCTTGTTGATGAGGTCATGAAATGGAAATAATTGATATGTGAGAGTATGAAACGTTCGTCCTTCTTTACATGTTTTCCCTCCCCCGTTTGTTTACACTGTTAAACTTATAACAACCCAATCGAATCCATTTACCCCGTCCACACCTCCAGCGATAGTTTATTTAATGGCACACAAAAGTAAACATTTATGCCATTAAAGGTAAAGGTGACCAAACGGGAGGGCTAAAAGTGTTGTCTAAACTGTCACTTAGAAGATTGGTCGCATTTGCGAATTCAGAAAGGAACTTTTAGGTGTTCCTTAACCACAAAAATTGTGCGGAATTTACAGGAAAATTATGGCATTTGAATTCATTCCGTTCGTCGAAAAAAATTATGTGAAATGCAGAGGAAGTATTAACTCGCAGCTGGTCTCGATTCTCAGTATATTTGAGCAAAACTGTCTTGTAATGCCATTTCCTAGGAATACTCCAATTATATTTCCTAATTCCGAGACATTACATGGCAGTTTTCCACTAATTGGGGTGCAGTCGGTCGTAAGGAAGTGTGGTAGCTGCTGTCCTTTTTGCTGTTCCACCTATCAAGAGGTAGAACAGGGCTAAATCAAAGCAACCCTTGAGTGCCTAAGCGTGTTAGTGTCAAGCGGCTTATCTATTATTATTTGGTTGAATTTTCAATGGGCAGAGGAGCAGAACAGACAAGAACCGAACAGAACATTGGCTAAGTAAACCTTTGTCTGTCAGCGTTGGGATTGGTGTTGGGGCTGGGGCTTCATTACGCTTGATTTCTTCTCGACACACTCCAGAGGAGCTCTGTCGGGGCGTCATAATGCCTTGTGTCTGTGAGAAGTCATATGAATGCTACTGCTGTTGCCAGCCAAACACAATGGTTGGTTGGTCGCTCTCGTCAGTCAGCCTGGGATTGGTATTGGGGTAGCAATGGGATGGCATGGGACAGAGGCTGGCGTGCCGCCGACAGGATGTGGTCACAGGATGCGAACAGGCTGCCTGAGGACTTGGCACTGCTGTCGAGTGACCAGCCCAATGACTGACTGACTGGTACCACAGAAGGACGGCAGCAAGAGGAGCAGGCCACTGTATAAACAGTTCTGGCCACATAATGAACTGAAGGACTGACTGGCGACGGACCGACCGTCTTCTCATCTCCCCACCTGTTGAGGGAGTGGCTGTAGCAGCACTTTTTGCACATTTACCAAGCTTATGCAATTTACACAAGCCCGTCAACAGTCACACGTCTCGTTGGGTGTGTACACAGACCCATGGTCCTCCATGGATGCAGCGTTCAACCCATTTAAATGCTCTAGTTCTCCGGGACCATCCCATCCCAGGCCAATCTGCCTGGCTTTATGTAACCTGTGTGCAAACCACAAGCGTTTCGTTTCAGTCTGAATAATTGACCAACGGATGCCAAAAAAGCGAAAATAAATCTAGGAAAAAAATGGTGGACCACAGCAAAGGCAGAGACAGGCAGCAAAACAAATGTATAAACAAAATTTATGAAGCACAACCGCAGAGTTAAGCGGGGTCCGAGCTTGTGATTTAAACTCTGCATAAAGGATCCCTATCCATAAATCAGCTCTAACCGTTTGGGGAGTATCTAAGTGAAAGAAATAGTCCATGGCAACTATTGAGGAGCTTAACCCATCAGAATTGTCCCTCAAGGTATGACAGCACTTTCAAAAAAACATATTTCCCTTTCATATTCCAAACACAAAAAATTGATAACAAATGCTGTACAGATGGGGGTTCTGTTCTGGCAGGCACGTAACTAATTTATTTATGTATTTCTCATTCGCCGCATTCACACAAAGGACCCTTCTGTTGCTCTCCTCCCCTAGCATCCTCACATACTGCCCACAGGCACATTAGCCACAACGGATGTTGGCCTTTTCATGCTCTGTTGACCGGACCAACGAATCGTTCTGAGGGCAAACAAGTGGTACTGGTCGAGTGGGACTGACCAACCGAAATGTCAATAAATTCATATGAAGTTATCTCTTCC